TTTCAAACTTTTTGGAATAAGACTTTCATAATAAAACTTATAAAATAAATTTTCTTAAACATCAAAAATACATTTTGGAATAAGTTATTTGGAATAAAAATAATAGACTTTTCAAAAAATATATATATTCTTTTTAGAATAAAATTTTGTTAACATTTCGACATGAAAAACGTTTCAAAAATTTGAAAAACATGATTTTTTTCCTCTTTTCTTTTCCCTTTGTGCAATTCTTCTTTTATTTCTTTACAACATTCTCTCTCTCTTCCTTCCACCTCCCTCTCTCCATTCTCCCTTCCCTATCTGCAAGCTACGACTTTCTCTCTCTGGCAACAGTGTCCGTCCAGGGTTGAATGTCTATGTTTGGGACTTGGATTAGATGCTTGTACTACTCAACTCGCTGAAATCATCATATGCAAAAGCTTTTGATGGTTTGAAGGATGTGCAAATGGGAGTTGAAATCGAGATGATGTGAGAAATTTACAATAAGCCACAAACATTACAATAAACCATTTCTTGATGGAATAAGAGGAGTTGATGCATTTCGGGTTGAAGTATCTATGTTGCAAATTGAACATTACAATAAGCCATTTCTTGATGGAAGAAAAAAGGTTGATGCATTTCACCTTCATCTTTCCAAAATATATTTTTTAAAATACAATTTCAAATGCACATTTCTTCTGAAGATATTTATAAATCCAAAATTATTTTTCAAAATATACACGTATTTTTTAAAATACATTATGGATTATATAATTAGAAAATATTTTTTAAAATATATTTTTGAATGCATCTAAATGTATATTCAAAATATGTTTCCAAATTTAAAAATATCTTTTAAAATGTAATTTTCTTAAATTCATTTAAGATTGTCCAATCTAAAAAAAATATTTTGGTTTGAAAATATACATGATTTTTTTAATACATTATGGAATTATAGAAGGTAGATAAAACACAATGCGGTGATTTTTAATATATAATATATATATATATATATATATATATATATATATATATATATATATATATATATTATTACTCAAAGATAATAGAAGAAAAAGACATCAAGATTTAGATCAATTAATACCACAATATGCTTAAAGATATTAAAATAAAAAACTATGGTCTTACCTTATGAGTTCATATCAAAATTTCTGAATGAAAAATTTTTATAATCTTGGATTAAGCACAAATAAAAGTTGAAACATATGCATAAATGTTACTCCAAACCTTATCACACACGTCATCAGCATTAGAGATACCAATTGAAAGGAGTGTGTTCTTGTGAGGGCAAGACATTCTCGACTAAGTCAAATATGGTAAAAGACAAATTAATTCCAAAAAAAGGTTTGAGAAAAACTTGACCACAAGAAAAAAAAATTTAAAAATTCTCGTCCCAGTGGATTTAATCCAAACTTAAAAAAAAAAGGAAATTACTTTTTTGTGGAAAATAAAACCATCATGAACCTTAGTTTAGACATAGAGTTAGAAATGATAATTCTCTTTAAGAAAAATATAGTTGAAGGAGAAGATACAATTCTAGTGGTATTAGGCAAATTTATGTAAACAAAAGTGCATTTACCTCCTACACTAATGTAAGGGGATGAAGAATAACACATTTATCTTGTTGATTCAAAGACAACTCTTCTCCTAAGAAAAGAAAAAGTTCTTCTAAAGCTCACACATGGGAAGACTCAGCCTTAAGCGATGTGCTACATGTGCCAACAATCAATGTTAATCTAATCTTCATAGCATTATTGAAAAAAGTTGGGGCTAAAAGTGTCATTTGAATTTGATAAGATTGTTATGAATAAAATAATGTGATTATAAGGAAGGGATATTATGATCAATTATTTTTGTACTTAACATTTCTAAAATTAATAATGAATTTGGATCTAGATCTTCTACTTATATTGTTGATTCATATAGTGTATGCATGCTAGATTAGAACATGTAAGTTTCTCGTAGGTTATGAAATTATAACGACTAGGATTAATTAATATACATGATAAATGTAAGACTCGAAAAAAAAATGCAATGTATATATAAGAATTGTATTTGGATTATGTTGTAATTAATAAAAGAGATGTGTTTCCACAAAATACCATGTGGTTTGCTTGGTAAGAGCTTCTTATTGTGGGTTATGAAAGAAGTGTTTTCACAAAATATCATGTGGTTTGCTTGGTAAGAGCTTCTTGTTGTCGGTTACGGGTCACGTGTTCAAATGTTAAGTGGTGCATATAATGTTTTATTTGCTTTATGAATGCTTAACCTTGGTCATTGCTCTCCTTCCAAAGTTATATAAGCACACCTAACTCTCATTTGTAACACACCTTTGATCATTAAATGATAATTGTGGGATTTGTAATCTTCTTTGAGATAACATCTATCTCTTAGTTCCAAATTTTCAGATCTTATCTTGATTTTGTTTTTGCAAACAAGTGGTGATCTCCCACTCATCTTGGAAGCTCCCAGTAACTGGCGTGAACTCACCATTTTCATAAGTCTTATATTTCTCTTCTCTTCCATTTTTAGTCTTTCAATTTTTTTTCCTTTCTATCAATTTTATTAGCTTCTTTGTACTTAGGCATGCTATCTCTTATCATGTGGTATCTAGAATGTAGGTGATTGTTTAGAAATGTATGCTTAGGTATCAAATTTTTTTTCTATATTTTTTCACTCAATCATTAGTATAATTTCTATTCCAACTTGTATTAGTAGATCATGTCCACTTTATTACCCCTAAATCTAATAGTTATAATTTGGTTCAACTCTATGTAAGAGTATTATTTACTGTTTTAAGTAACTTTTAAACAACAATTAAATCAACCTTCCCTTTGTATCTTTCCCTCCTTATGTGATTTATTTATAACAATTGTACAATTGTTTTAAGGATAACGTCTCTTAAAAGAATTAATGGAGTACTTTCATTTCTATTTCATTACATGTTTCAACATCTCTTAAAAATTGAAAGTTTAGAAAACGTTTTCTTCTTCCAACCATTTTAAGTGTTACTTAAGAACTAAATTGTAAAAAAATGGCATGTTTCAAAACCAACCATATCTCCAATAACAATTTCATTTCATGTTATCATTATTGAAGAGGTTATTTAATAATAGCATAAGAAAAGGCTTAATATCACTGTTGGTCCCTATTTTCGTCAACTTTGTTCGATGTTTCGAATGTTCAATGTAGTCCTTAATTTCGTAATTTATATTCAATTTAATCCTTTTTTCTGACGATGTTTAAATCGTTAACGACAAAATGTCCACAACACCAATCAGTGAATTACATGACAGTTATTGGCTAACATGGCTAGGACCAGAATTGACTAAGGATGGTCGCGCCAATAAGGGCTTGACATGTGACAACCCCTTTCTTCACCTAAAAATTAGGGTTTTAGATTTGCATATGCAGATTGGGGAAAAGCTTGCTCTAGTGTCGTCACGCAAGAATAGGGTTCTCCTTCACGACGGATATGGTGAACTTTGTGATAGTTGGTTTGCTTCTAGGTTTTTCTCCTGGAGGTGAATGAAGAAGGCGCTTTGGAGAAGCTTGCGGAGAGGTGCTAGTGAAAGATGATTGCGTGATTCAGCTTTGCGTTTCTGCGATTTGGGTTTTTCTCGCGAGAGGTTGGTGATAATGGTGGTGCATCTTCACCGTTGCGGCACGAATCGCGCTTCTGGTTTGAAGTAGATTTCTGGTTCTCTGGATTTTAATCTTCTATGTTTCAGGTTGATGGTGGCTGGTGCGAGGAACACGCAATTCGGTTTCGCGATGCTTGTGACGGAGCGTTTGGAATAGCGGTGCAACTAGTGCGTGATATTCGCGAAAGGTTTCTGGGTAGGGTGTCGAAATGTCTGATGATGGAGGTGCGAAGATGGTGGTTGGTCGTGAGTGTGGCAGTAGCAGCTAAGGTTAGGTGGTGGCTAGGATTTTTGTGTAGGGAGAAATTAGGATTTCTGAAGGTAGGAGATGATTATGACATGTCAAGAGTGATCATGTAATTTACTTATTAGTGCTGTGGACATTTTGTGGTTAATAATTTAAACATCGTTAGCCAAAAATACAAAATTGAACATAAAATTACGATATAAGAAACTACATTGAACATTCAACAAATGAGTTATACATTAAACAAAATTGGAAAAAATAGAGACCAATGATATTAAACCTAAACAAAATTATAATCTTATGTTATGCGTTTGTTTAACGTGCTTATTTTAAAAATAAGCATTTTCTACTGAATTTGATATACAAATCTTATTTGCTTCTAAAATTATTATTTTTAAAAATAATTATTATTTACAAAATTAAGTTTAAACAAACCTATATTTAGTCTACAAAGCTTGATCGTAAAAGAAATTTATATTTTGTTTAAAAATAGTTATATTGAATTAAAACAACTTTGGGAATTATATTCCAACAATATTTTTATATATATTTTTTTCTCCACTGAGGACATTTAAGAAAAAATATCGGCTTATCTCCTTCGATTTATCATTTTTGTCTTCACTTGTAGTTTACAATTTACTATACTTTTAAAAGAAATCATTTCAATTTAAAAGTAATGTTGTGTCAACGACAATTATTTATAATTCTAAAATATAATTAATATATTTAAAAATATTTAATTATTACAAATTTAATCACAATATATTTTGATATGTTTAAAATATATACACTATAACGTTTACCACATATATCTTTTTAACCAGAAATAATCATGGAATCAGACTTTCACCAAGCTTTAGCTTTATTTTGGACACTTACATTAAATGGATTTTTTTTTCCATGCTGCAATAGACCGCAATCCAAATGAAGACAAATAATCCATTTTTCCACCAAGAAAATATAAAGTCAACTGTAAAAAAAAGGGAAGTCAAGAATATTTCAATCATGTTTACGTGGTTTGAAAATAAAAGAAAATGCGCAACAGCTCCACTACTACTTGCACTTAACTTTATATGCATTACCATTTCATGACTATTAGAAGCACTAGATACTGTAAACTTATAAATTGTTGTTCAATCATACTTGTCATGATAAAAAAATTACATTTACAAATATCAAAATTAAACTCCAAATAATAAGGAGGAACCATACATACAAAATTGATCAAGCAGACAAAGGAGCCGTTCTATCCCCAGATATTTGTTGACATGCAAACAGACCAAGCTGGGACAATTCAGAGGACAAAATGTGTTTCATGTTGGATAACATTTTATATCCGGTTAAGTTACGAATAGCAGCTTCTTTCTTCAACACGCAAACGAACCCGCTAAAAGCAAAACATTGGTGGGAGTGTGGGACAGCTCTATTGCAGAAAGTAAATATGGGGTTATCTTTCACCCAACATTCCATCGAGGAGCGCAGCTTCTTCCTCCTGCGTGTAAGACAAGGCAAACCACGTAAATGAAGAGCCTAAACTTAACCATAAAAAGAATATCACTTGAAAGAATAAAACCACACACCACCAAGGCATTAAATTCAGTCTCTTCATCTATAGCGCTGGTGATAGCAGGATCCTCAAGCAGTTCCTGTTCACAGAAGTTAAGATTAGCAATTTCTCGTGATCTTGAAATCAGAAATTTTATTTCCCTTCCCCTAAACTTGGGCACTGATATCGATGAGCGTATTAGGCATCCCTTCATATAGGATACAACAGTGCAAAGCAAACAAGAACCGTTATACTAAACGGACAATCTGAAGTTATTAGTAAGTTTTAATTGTTTGCGAAAAACCATATTGCCAAATTAATTGCGACACATGGGATCTGAGAAAGGAAATAGACCAAATTCTGTAGCGAGCGTCAAGTGCCAACTTACATCGTCAGCAATTTGCAAAATTCCATTCTGATCCTGCAGTGAAAGGTTAAATTAATTATGTGTGGGAACTAAGAGTACTTTGATAGTAAGTTCACATTGGTATTTTGGAACAGTTTCCGCTCAAATCAACTATAGAATTAGTTTGATCATAGAAAGAACGTGACTGGAAAATGAAATGTGGCAATCGTTCAACAGAGGAAATAGTTGGTTTTAAGAAACTTGACAACGAAGCTTACCTTCACCGCAACAAAAAGAAGTGGATCAGATGGTGTATATATCATGTAATATCCTTCTTCCTGCAGCAAATTGATATAAATAAGCATGATTGGTGTATACATCACGTTAGCCTTTTTAAACCCATACTTTCTACATTAGGTCAGTGCCAGAGCCTAGAGGTTACTTTAGTAGAATATCAAGAAGCACCTTAACTATAGATGTATAATAAAAATAAAAGTCATAAACAATATGAATTAATAGCAGAAAGAAAAGCTAAGGTTACTAGACCGCACAACAATCCACTGGCTATAAGATGATTTATAATTTCTTGCTGCTGTCAAGTGCGAACTATATATATATATATATATATATATATATAGGTATGAATTTGAGGGTACCGTAGAAATAGTTGACAACAATATTATTGGGTGCGGCAGAGATACCAGGCAACAAGTTTACTCACCAACATTATCTTCAAGACAACAATCAATATATATATATTAGTGCTATTGGAAAGTATCCCCTATTTGGCGGCTATATGTTTGCTATTAAAAATTAGGAATTCATGTGAAAGTTTTCTGATTTATTTTCATCATTTTCCTGAAATTAGAGACGTTAATTCATGTTAAAATCATTCAGGCTAAGAATTTCCTAAGCAATTCAAAAATACTTTATTCCTCTTCAATTATTACAATATTAGAAAGAAAATCATTTAAAATAAGATTGAAACCGTATCTCCTATTTGAGATTTAAAATATTCTTCCCACCATATCATTTTATTTGTAACTTTTGAATAACTCTGCCTCAAATTATTTGCCACTTGCTAACATCAGGAAGGAAGTACTATTAATTACTTTTTCTCAATAATACCATCAAGAAATAAATACAACACTAGATGTATAGTTAGACTCCCTTCACTCCTATTACCTGATTCATTAGTGGTTAAGAAATAAGTTAATTGATGACATCAATAAATTTTTCATAAATTTATATTTTTTCCAAAACCTCTCATATCAATAATGTTTCGGTTTGTGGGGTCGAGGTTAACAGTTCTCCAAACTCCGTTCATCCAACTCCTTACACAAGTCACCGTTTGTTCTTCTCTTCATTCAGTCGTACTAGGAGGTTACCTGCAGAAAGTACTCTGGTGCCAAAATCAGCCAAGATTCGATAGTCTAACAATAAATGCGTATTAAATGTAACCAACCTACCGCAATACCTCAAACTTGTATTTATAGATTTCAGAATGGGCTTCAGATTAGCGTCAACCTAATTACGGTCCTACTAATAATGATCATTCTTTGGTTTAAGATAATCATAATCAGTCTTAATTCTTGTTTAAGATTGACCGCTCGGTTCATGTTACCCAGCCGACCAGTTCGCTAGGTGTTCCTAACTGATGGGATTGTCCAGTTCTAAGCTAACTGGACAGTCATACAGTACACAAACCCCCCAAGCCCGAGCATATCTTGATATGCGAAGGGGTTTGCAGTTGGAGGGGTTTCGTACATTTTGGAGATGGTGGAGTTATTCTATGACCGATCAATTGAAAACGGTTAATAGCATGGGAAGTTACCCCAAGGACATGTGAGTTAAGGGAAGTTATAATCGATAGGAGTAGGACACATGGCTTGCTGGGATTCGTGCATCCCTTGAAACGAAAGGTCATGAGACGTGAACCGTCAGATCTTCCTTGTTTCAATGATTAGGATCCATCTGTTGTCTTCTCCTGCAACTCGTGCATCATCTTAGGCGGCCTATCGCACAGGCTATCCACGAACGGTCCTACCCTTAGGATCGTTGAAAGGTTGTTAAGGATGAACTCTTGGCTCATATCCCTCACTTGCCGAGCGGTTTTGTTGTAGCTGTTAGAATATTTACCCTATTTATCATGATTATATTATGTCTAGGGTTACCCTATTTATCATGATTATATTGTGTCTAGGGTTACCCTATTTATCATGATTATATTGTGTCTAGGTTACCCTATTTATCATGATTATACTGTGTCTAGGTTACCCTATTTATCATGATTATATTGTGTCTAGGTTACCTTATCATGATTATATATCATGTATTCTTGTATCAATTTATTTTTAAAAATAGAAGATTGTGAGAGGGATCAATTAAGCCCTCTAGAATTATTTTACAGTTTAATTCTAAAGTTGGTATCAGAGCAGGTTGTCTGAGTCTCTTCCTACTGTATCTTTGTTACCACCGGTGGCCCGTGGCTGCCGCCGGCGGCCATAAAAATTTCATCTTTTATGAAATACCTCAATGAGCAGTCTTGTTCTAGTTTCTGTTTAGTCTCCAAACCCTAGTTGTTATCCGCAACTTGCCGCTGTCTAGTGCTGTTTGCCGCTGTCTAGTGTTGTTTGCCACTGTCCGGTGTTGTTTGTCTGTATTCCGGTGTCGTTTGCCGCCGTCCAGCGCCGTTTGTCGTTGTCCAATTGGCACTGTTTTGCCACTGTGAGGAGCTGTCCACATAAGTTTGTCACCATCAACCTCTGTTCCCTGCCATTCCGACGCGGTCCGCCACTATCCGTCGACGGCTACCGCCACAGTTTAGTCTTGCGACCAATGAATCTGGATCAGCTCCTTGAGCGACGGTTAACCCCGCCTGTGTCGAGGGCTAGTTCTTATCCAAGTTTCGTCACGCACAACTTCTCTTCGATAAGCTTCTAGCATGTGATTGTCATGCACGTCGAAATTACACTACGACATTGTCATTCGTCTCGTCACAACTCCTGAGTGCGTGTTGGTACTTGTTTCTTAGTTTCGATGTCTGTAACTCAGACCTAGGGTTTTATTCTTTGGTATTTTTGGAACCCTAAGTCCTTTAGATCTCTGTTTCATCATTGTTTGACTCGCCGAATCATGTTGAGTCCATATACGTCCTTGGTTCCTGATTTCAAAGTCAACAAATCGCTGTTGACGCCACTTTGTCACTTTTTTCTTCAATCATTGTTGGTTACTTTCTCCTTGGGCTCGAGGCTAGTTTGTTTAGCCCGTACTTCTTGTGATACAGTGCTAAGTATCACCATTTGGGAGTAGTTTAGCACAGAACCTTTGGACCTCCAACCTGTCATTGGCCTTTAATGTCATCATAAGTCTCAATCTTTGTTCCTTGAATCTGTCATCCTTACGGTTTTCAACACAATCCAACCATGGTTCCTAATGGTGCTTTGATGAATAAAGGAAATCATTATGACCTTCCACCTTCACAGTTTCCGTCGTTCGCCGTGAGGGGAAGTATCTTTCAACCACTATAGGCCCCATCAGTTACTGATGGCAATTTAATCCCTGTAGTTTGTCACTTTTAGCCACTAGAGGCCCCATCCTTACTTGATGGCAATTTAGTCCCTGCAGTATGTTTTTGTCCATTGCAGGCTCCATCCTTACTTGATGGCAATTTAGTCCCTGCAGGCTCCATCAATCAGTGATGGCAATTTAGTCCCTCCAGGCCCCATCAGGCCCGAACAGAGTATGGATAGTGGAGAAGCAATTCACTGTGTTAGGTGACAGAGTATTGAACCACGCCAATGTCTCCCCCTTCAAGACAAAGAGAAGGCTCTACACCAAATTGGATCGCTCATTGAGTAGAATGCTATGGTGTTGACGAACGATCGTAGATGCTCGACGAGGTCAGTTGACCCATCATACTTCTCAAACAATGGAGGCGTTGACCCCTCGGGCATCGCTGCCTCCATGACAACAGTTGTAAAAGGTAGCAGGCCCTCCGCCTATATTGTTTACACTGTGAGAGCTCCCCTACTCGCCCCCTATACTTGCCTCCTGGACCGTCCTGGTCAGTTCATCAACCTATTTGTTCACATTCAACGGTCCAGCAACGACCGGCACAAAATTTTAAGCGGTCTGCTCCTAATGCACAACTACATTCTCAACCCTTAGTGTCGCTATCTCGGCCTCATGTCTTCTTTACATCTTCTACATTTGCCTCTGCATCTCCTTGATTAGCTCCAGGGTGTCTCATTCGCTTGTCTCTCCAGTCGGGCCCATATTCCTTGTGGTCACCATTGAGTTTTCTTCAACTTCCTCGGGCCCCACGGTGGGTGCCAAAATGTTTCGGTTTGTGAGGTCGAGGTTAACAGTTCTCCAAATTTCGTTCATCCAACTACTTACCACAGGTCATCATTCGTCCTTCTCTACATTCAGTCATACTGGGAGGTTAGTGTTGTAATTAGAGGAAATATCTTCTTAATTAAAGAAGATATCTATAGAATCTTCCTAATTAGAGAAAATTGATGTGTAATCTTCTAGATTATTTTGTTTCACTATTTTCCTATTTTAGAAGATTAGATTGTTACAAATAGAGCAAAGGAGAATGTAAGTCTAACTCAACCCCCACAAAACCGGCTTGTAGGGTGAGGTTTGCACCCACTTATATATTATAAATTGGCCTTATCTTTAGTCGATGTGGGACTTCCAACAGTTAGCAAAGATTCGACAGTCTAGCAATAAATGCGTATTAAATGTAACCAACCTACCGCAATACCTTAAACCTGTATTTATAGAATTTAGAATGGGCTTCGAATTAACGCTGACCTAATTACAACCCAACTACTACTGATCATGCTTTGGTTTAAGATAATTATTGTCAGTCTTAATTCTTGTTTAAGGTTGATCGCTCGGTTCATGTTAACCAACCAACCAGTTCGCTTGGTGTTCTTGACTAATGGGACTGTCTGGTCCTAAGCTGACCAAACGGTCATATAGTACAATTAATATTTTTCTCTTTTCTACTCTATACATTCCATTCTATGTGACAACTAAGGTTTTGACACAGTGATGACTTGGGCCTAAGCCCATAACTTATTCAAAGACCAATTACTAGAAGAATGACAAAGAAGGCTTCCGCAAAGCTATTTTTAGCATCTCAAATTGGTAGTTACTCATTCAACCTAAGTCCATGGAGATTGGAAAGCACCTTAAGCATCTAACCTACCAGCGCCCAACGCCCATGCTTGGCGCCCACGGCAACGTGTAATAGATTGAAGAAGCATGTGTTTTTGGTGAAGCAAGCAGCTGATTCACATGGCCAAAATAAATGGCACTTAATCCAATAATTTAGGCTGATGATCAGCTGTGTAATAGCTCGAACATGGGTGTTGAAATCTCTATAAAATCAACATCCATCACTTGTAATCCGTCACTTTGATGATAATGGTATTGAACCCC